GTATTTTTGCTCATTTGTTAATTCACACTTTTACAGAAATATTTATTAAGAAATGTTGACTTTTCTCATTAATTATTGATAGTGCTTTAAACAACATTTTGTTGTTACAAATTTTATTAAGTATGAATGTTTGAAGTTTTCTTATTCTGTCTTCAATCTGAGAACAAAGATAAATGAATAAAAAAGTTTTTGAAATTAGATTTTTTTTAATGGTCTGTGTGATTAATTATTATTTGCTGTAAGTGTTATAACTGACAACAAAATACTTATTGTTGTGATTATTTCATGATGACGTTATGATCACAGGACACAAGGAGGCAGCATTTAACCGATATGGCAGAAGTAAAAGTGAACATTCAGAAATAACTTGAAAGTTATTCACAAATACATATTTTATTCATACTGATTAAGACACTCATACCTCCCTCTCCTCAGCCACCTCCTCCAGCTCCTTTAGGGAAACACTGAGGCGTTCCCGAGTCAGCCAAGAAACATACGTCTTTGTCCTTCCTTAGATTGCAGATAATTAACTCCACTCCTCACATCTTAGTCCCTCCCACTACAGATGACAGCAGAGGAGGTATCACTATAGATTTAACAGGATCTTAACAGTCATCTTTGAAACTTTTGTGAAAGTGGTGTCAGTGTAAGAAAGAATAATGTGATGTCAAACCTATTTGTTTGAGTCACAGGAACAGAAATAGTGAGATCAGCTTAAATAACTGAAGCTATTGATCTTTAAAGAGTCCTCCTTCTATTATTGTTATATCTAGCAGAGCCAAAGAGCCTAATATTTTAGGCCATGTATTGTGTCTCTGCTTTTAGGATAACAAACAGGTATGATTCAGTGATCTTGAATCACTGAGAGACAAAATATAAAAATGTAATTACTGTAATTACCACCCTGCTAATTTATCTTGCTAGTGTCATCCTTCAGTTGTTTCAAATCTCTCGTCTCCTGCTTGAACGGACTCAAACTCCATCATCTTGACCTTGGGCCACTCTAACCACTGTGCTCATGCAGCTGCAGACTGCCACCAACTGTAGTCCAGGACAGTGGATCTGAGACTTATTAGTGAGGCAGCACACTCTAGAATTA